CGTGGTGGCTACAGGTCCCTAAACGTGTGTTGCGAGCACCCGTTGGCGTGGGCCCTTGGAAAAGTTAGCTGGTGTCCGGTAGACAACCTGAAAGGCTTTATTAGTATCGATTGGGTGATGCGTATCGACAAGGTGTTTGAGAATAGAGCTGGAGATCGATTTAGTTTCAGCTTTGCCTAACCAGGCCGGTGTTCACGTACTATCTTTTCCATGCGCATTCTTGTTCGGCCAATGTATCCTGCTCAACAGGAGCAAGTGAAGGAGTAGTCGCACATGGATGTGGCCTTGACGGGATTCGGTCTTTACCTCCCAATCATAGGAGGGAGAGTTCCTGAATAACACGCTTAAGTTCGCCGCGGGCAAAGTGTTTGTGATCGCAGTGTTAAGGCGTCGTTTTACCAACTCGCTTGTTGCATCTCCTAAGAAAGGCAGTCTTATGAATGCGCTTTTATTTTCTGCGGTTAAGGTAGCAAGATATTTTGTTAAGAAAAAACGGTTAAGCATTCTTGTGTGGCCGCCTAATGGAAATAGGCTTCCTTTATTACCCAATCGGTCGCCTAATGGTCAAAGCAGTTGCTCTAGTAGTTTTCTTGGTCCGGATGTTTCTTTATTAAACTAAAAGGGTTGCTCGCTTATATTTTTTGGTCTGTGGGCTTCCGTTTAACCTGCAATTCTATTTAAGTAAAACAATTATAAGCAGCTTTAATTTATTTTATACTGTGCACTTACCGCACATTAAACATGCACTACCTGTTCATTAATCAAGCATTAAATCTTTCATCATGAATTCCGTAAGACGCTTGGGCGGAGAATTTATTTTTAGGTTACCTCACCAAAAAGCCTTACCAAAAAGCTATCCTCCCTTTTGAAGTATTCGGAACAAGTGGCTCTGTTTTTTTTCACAAATCATGGATCTAAGTAGGGATTTTATTGAAAAAAAGATTTTTTTCCTTCCGGTAGTTGATAAAATTAGCATTTATTTGCCCACTGGTGCGGAATTCAGGGCTTAACATAGATGTGGCAATTTAGTCTTTTCAAGCCCAGTGCTTACAGTTGATTCACAATTTATTTATGGTCTAATGACTATCTTCCGGTGACCATTTCGTGTCAGGAGCCTAAGGGGATCAATTAGGAAGGTTTTATTCCAGTAAAGGTAATTTATCTCCCAGAAATCATTTAAATTACCAAAGGTTATTGCAGCAAAAAAGCGCGCCATAAATAAAAGGAGTAATTTACTTAGTTACATTTCTCACTTATTTATAATTCATTTTTATTCTTCTGGTCAAATTTAGTTTTGTTTTCAGTTTATTATTGAGGTTTATTACTTTTATGATAGTTTTAGATTTCTTTTCAATTCAGTTTATTGTAGATTACCTTCGCTTAGTTAGGTTACTTAGATTTTAGTTTACTTTTTTGTTTAGTTTTAGATTAACTACTCACATGCCGCTGCTCTTTGAGTCAAAATCTTTAGCAGTTTACTTTACATTAGATTAATTAATTTGGTCTATTTCACTTATTTATATTTCGGTTCTGTTTTTAGTTTACTTCTCAGTTCATTGTTAAGTTTTATTATTTTTATTTTAGTTTTCGCTTACTTTTTAATAAAGGAAATTTAGATTACTTTATCCTTTAGGCTGTCTATAGGGGTCGCTTTGGTCTTCAACTTATAATAAAAAATACTTTCACATTTTCAATAGCCCAAATTTCCAATGGTTGCACATTTTAATTATGGTGCCCTTTTTTGTTGATAATCTTTACATTCTTTAAATAGGTAGTCCTGTTTTTTGTCTAAATTTATAAACATTGTTTTTTATTTACATTTTCCTTCCCTTGTATTGCCACATTGTATAACCTTGATTAACCCACTTCCGTATTACAGAAAGATGGGGGTTTTGTATGCTGATCTGGGAGCTATACTATACACCTACCGTAATTTGTATGGCGGTCCAAACAGCACACGGTAGCAGAAACCAAATTTCGCGCAAATTAGGTAGAGGATTAATGTGAGGATTAGGGTTGAGTTTTGGTGTTGAGTTGGAGTCAGAGTGCGGCTTGTGGTTCAGGTCAGGGCTGCGTTAAGAGTTTGGGTTCGTGTGGACTGTAGGGTTTTGTTTTATGGTGGAACTAGGGTTAAGATTAAGGTTACAGTTGTTAGTGTCAGAGTTAAGGCATGGGCATATTTGCTCCTCTGAGAGATCACCTGTTTTAGGAGTAGCAGTTCAATTTAGTATCCTAAACAGCGCGCGAAAAACCCATCCTTCCGTAATACGGGACAGATGGTATAGAGTCTTCAGTTGTGTCCAATTGGACCATTTTAACTATTGCACACAAATAATCGGTTATTTAAAAAAGTTATCTGGGAATCTAAATTGAAATGCTGCCGTATTAGGTATGTGAGGCGCTCCTATCCCCCATCCTTTTTAGGCAGCCACAATGCAAATCATGATTACTGTTATTTGATCTTCCTCCCTGATCGGGTCTTCAATTCGACACTTTTAATGGAAGGCTTTATAAAGATGCAGTCTGCGGTCATTGCGGAGGATAAGGAGAGAAAAAAGGAGCCTGTAATCAATTTAACAAACAAAATAAAAGTGCTATGTAATTGTAAAGATGCTCTACCAGGTGAGGCGGCATTCCAAAGAAAACTTCGCTTGCAAAGTTTACGGGAAACCGCAAATTCATCAAAGTTTAGAGATTAGGGTCAGGGTTATATAA